AAATCATGAAAAGAGCCAACCTCTTTTTTCTCTCCTTTCCCTTACTCTATTGTTGCATCCAGGGAAGAGGAAGCAGTGAGCGCCACTGATACTGGGCCCCCAGGGATCCCGAGAGGGTCACACCCCAGGCGCCCCAGCAGCTTGTCTTCCTCCATTTGCAGAGGGAGTTTGTAGCAGTAGGCGAGGAGGTTTCTCCTGGCTCTGCCATGACGTGAAACAAAGAAAGAAGAAAATGAAACGGGAGGGTTTCTGTGTGGTGTGTGTGTGTGGTAATGTGTGTGTGGTGTGTCTGTATGTGTGGTGTGTGCATGTGTGGGTGTGGTGTGTGGTGTGTAAAGGAGTGTGTGTGTGTGTGTGTGTGTGTATGTGTGTGGTGTGTGTGGTATGTATATGTGTGGTGTGTGTGTATGGTGTGTGTGTGTGTGTGTGGCATGGTATGTGTGGTGTGTGTGTGTGTGTGAGAGAGAGAGAGAGAGAGAGAGAGAGTGGGGAAAGGGAGAGGGAGAGGAGAGGAGGAAGAGAGAGAGAGAGCGATTCCAGCAAAACAGGCTGTGAACGCGCCTAGGTTTCATGGGGCAGAGTTCTTAGATGTAAGGCTCTGGAGAAAGAAGATTCGGAGAGACTTTAGCTCTGTCCTGCTGGTCTCCACACTCTGGCTCAGACCTATGTGTTCCTTGAGGGCGGAGACAAATTCCTTCCACTTGTTTTTGTTTGGGTGTTTTCAGGCTGCCCAGAACAATTGTCTCTGTGACTTGTAAAATAACAACACTGTTTATTTCTCACCTTAAAAAGAAAGGTGTGTACTGGACCACAATTTCTGGACTTGTAACATAACAACACTGTGTTTATTTCTCACCTTAAAAAGAAAGGTGTGCACTGGACCACAATTTCTGGAAAGCTAGACTTTGAGAAGTATTTTTTTTTTTTTTTTAATGAAAATGTATTTGGGCCATGAATTCTCTTTTAAGAATGAAAGTTTGTTTTCATGCACGTGCTTTACTGGCTGCAGAGAAGAAAAGGCCCTTCTTCCCAGTCTCATATGGTCTTAGGGTCTAGCTTCTGTCCACTGTCTTGGGAATCCTCCAACTCTGTGCAATGCCATTTCTTCCCAGCATGTGCAATTCTTGCCTGCTTCAGTTTCGCCAACTGAAATCTAGAAGAAAACAGAGAGAACAGATGTGTTATGCAGAACTTTGTGTGCCGTTTACCCACCAAGTAAAGAGCGCGGGCACCATGAGAGCTAGAGACTCTAATTCATCCCGTTGGTCATCACGACAGGAGATGGGTTGCATATCAAGGGCCATTTTGTTTTGTACTTAGAAAAGTACGCATTTTATTTTACATGTGTTCATGTGTGTATGTAAGAAAGGCTCCTCGTCATCAGCTGCTACCACCTTGGTTTCTGAGACAGGGTCTGTTACTGGTCTGGCTTGGAACTTGCCAAGTCTCCTGGTATGGCTGGCCAGCAAGCACAGGGGAGCCCCCTCCCCCCTCTCCTGCTCTGGCATATCATATCCAGACCTTTGCCCCAGCCCTGCCCAAGGCCTCTGGACCGTCAAACTTAGGTCTTCAGGTTTCCAAGGCAAGCACTTTACCAGCTGACACATTGTCCCAGCCCACTTTTAGTTTTTGCTATTAAATTTTCCTTGGGTATAAGTCAAAAGATCTGAGAGAGAGAGAGAGAAACTGACTTACCGTATATCCATACATGTAGCTCAGGCTGCTGTTGAACTCTCATCATCTTGCCTTAGCCTCTTGAGTTTCTGGGTTTACAGAAATGTGCCATTTTACCGATTTTTAAAATTCTTTCTTAGCACCTTATCCTGATATTGTCACTCCCAGGATAATAAAGCTGACTCTAGGGTATCTCCTAGCATCCTTCTAGAAACCTTCCAAACTGTTCTCTTACATAATGGCTCAAATGAATTTTAAAAATGTTAATATTATATTCTTTGTTGAATGACTTTTGCTACTGTCCCTTTCCTGTGGCCATGTTTTCCTTCTGCTATGATTCTTTATACTACAGGAACTTTGCCTGTGGCAGACAGTACCCAGAAAGGCCTTCCTTCTTTATTACCTTATTCTTTTCTGTCCTTCAGTTTTCAAGTTAAATGTCATTTACTCAGAAGAGCAGTAACTGATTACCCATGGTTTCCCCACACAGCAGACATGGAACGATGAGCCAAAGTGAACCCTCCATTCTTACACTACTTAGTCATTGTGGTGGTTGGAATCAGAATGGCCGCCATATCTGAATTCAGGCCAACATATCTAAATGCTTAGTCATGAAGTATTGGCCCTATTTGAAAGGATTAGAAGGATTAGGAGTTGTGAGTGTATTAGAGAAAGTGTGTCACTTGGGGTGGGCTTTGAGATTTCAAAATCCCATGCAAAGCCCAGAGTCTCTCTCTCTGTGCTTAGGATCAGAATGTTGCTCTCAGCTGCTGCTCCAGCAATTGCCTGCCTGCTGCCTTGCTCCCCGCTGTGATGAAAATGGTCAAACCTCTCGACCTGCAAGCAAGCCCCCAGTAGAATGGTTTCATTTGTGAGAACTGCCTTCATCACGGTGTCTCTTCACAGCAATAAAACACTAAGGTAATCAAGATATTTTGTCACAGAAATGAAAAAAGTAATACAGAAAATTTATATCAAGAAGTGGGGCTGATGCTGAGAACATGTGGTTCTTGGAGCTTTGAGACCACTTTGTAGAGGAATGTGGAAGAATTTGGAACTTTGGGGTAGAAAAGCCTCTAAATGCTATGAGTGGAGATTTGCCATTGTGGTAGGAGTTAGGACCATGAGAATTCTTAGAGAAATGCAGAAACTGAAGGCCCAGCTCATGAAATTTCAGAAGGGTGCAAAGACTCTATCTAGAACTGAGCTACAGGCTATTCTTGCTAAAATACGATGAAATGAAATAAAATAAAAAGCAGTAGTATTCATTACCCTCCATTTAGGATAGCTGTGAGGATGTATGTATGTGAATGAGTGAAAGCATGAAAATCTTTGTATCACGTGTTAATGCCTGCCATGGAAGAGACATTCAGAAACATGGCAGGTGAAATGACCTTGTCCGTGAACATCAGCCTCTGTCAACAGCTACTCAGGAGCTGGAACAAAGAGAACACTAGGTGATACAACCACAGCAGCAGAGGTGGAGGTGGCCAGGCACCCTGAACTATACTGACTAAGGCCCAAGAAGCTGCTACCATTCCCGAACTGACCAGCTATGCAAAGACATTCCCGTGATGGCAGCTTCGCCTTTCATTCTGAAGTGCCAGGAGCAGCAGACACAGACGACTCGGGTAAGTTGTTTTTGTTGTGTGTAAGAACTTCACCTGTACTACTGTGCAAGTCAGTTATGGAGTGTTTGCTCCACAAGCACAGAACCTCACACACCATTACACCAAACCATGAGCTTGACTTCACAGTGAATAAAGCCAAGAGATAGGCCCACTGGCTATATCACACATACGATACCTGGAAGTGAGTGTTCCCTAGAGTCCTTCTTAGAGAAAATTGTCTGTGAAGGCTGGGTACAATCTTTCAGTATATTCATGGACCAAAGACTTTTAAGGGTGTCACATACTCAGGAAGACTGAGTGTGCCCTGAGACCAGGAGTGGAAACAGGAGTAGGCCCACACTTTGGACCCTGACACATTGCAGGTAAAGGGGCTGGAATTTGCTTTCACATCTCTCTTTTAAGATTCCATCTAGAAGAAAGGCCTACTAGAGAAGGTCCATGAATCTCTAGAAAGTGGCCTGGAGTGATGCCAGGGCAGCATCACTGAGAGATACAGTTTCTCTCCAAGGAAGGGCATGCGGCTGCCTTGAGAGCACAGTTGGCAACCAGCCCCCAGCTTCATGCCCCCTACGCTCAGTCCCAAATGATGGGACTTCTCAGGGCAGCCCACCTCTGGTGATGAGTGCCAGTTGAGAATAGCTGGAGTGATGGAGATAGGAGAGGCCTAGGCGTTCCTGCCCAACCGGTACAGCCCTGCTGGCTGGAAAGTCTTTGCCCCAGCTCTGCCTACCATGACTAACTGGGGCTTAGAACTACACTGGAACCTTTTCTCTCCTTGCTAGATCTTCCATCTCTTCTCCTGTGTCCATCCTTAATAAACTTGTCTTTGCATCTGCTTCCAGGAGACCAAACCTGCACCAGGTTATGGTCTTCGAAGCAAGAAAAAACTTAGTAACTATGTACTTGAGGGGCAAATTGTTTCAGTCTCCTGAATTTCCATTTCCTCATTAGTAACTTTAGTTTTTAAAAGGAAAATGTTAGCATCCTGGAGTCCCTAGGCTAAGATGAAATCTACTGCGTGAGTCACTTGCCAGCAGTGCCCGGCATATAGAGCAGTGTGCGTTGCACTTTACTGTTGTTTTAAAGGGCGGTTCCTTGAAACAGGCGCTCAGAACACTAACACGCTTTGTGGGCCCTTAGAGGAGGGAGAAGCGAGTGCTTAGTTTTCTGGCCATGCCATTGGCCATTACAACACCCAATTCCCTCATAGCATCAACCGTGAGCCCAAAATGGTCTAGTGTCCTGTGCACACTGAGTCCTGTAACCCACTGAAGAAGGTACAATCGCTAATCCTGGTCTACAGCTGCGGAACGGACACACACCGAGCTAGTGGTCTGACTGGCGCGGTCTGCCTGCTGTCCTGATTTCATTTTTAGAAAGTGTTTGATGCAGGTTGGGAGAACCTTGCCTCTTGATTCCATAAACCTGGGGTGGGATAAAGTGACGAGTCAAACGTCACCTGTCTGCAGGTAGACAGATGTTCATTCGTCTTTTCCAAAGTGTGGGGGCAGGAGAATCCAAAACCCCTGCCCCGAGACAGTGTAATGACAGGAGGGAGATAGTGACAGTGGTGGCTTCCTTTCCAGTTTTCAAATATTTGCAAATAAGTAACACAGTTCTTTCAACATTTTTTTTTTATTTCTTTAAATTAACAAAATATAGGCTACATGCCGTTTCTGGGTAAACCGCCTGGAAACAAGAAGCAATATTCACAACTGGGTTGCTAGACATGTGGAGTTTTGGTTTCTAACTGGTGAGCCAGAACTCTGTGGGGGGAGATGAACAGGGGTGGGGGAGTGGGGGGGGTGTATACACCTGTATAAAACATTTGGTGTAATGTCCAGATATGTGAAGGATTTCAAATGTTACCTTGGTTACATTTTTGTCTCAGCAAAGCAGACAAAGATCTTAACTCAAAACAGGTTAATATTTTATCGAATGTCTTTGGGGCTCAATAAATACAGAATGCACACTGACTGAGCTTTTGCCTATAGCTACTTATGTCCAGATATATCCATTAGCTCCTTTTGGCTTGGAGAGATTGGTTTCAGTGTGATGGCCAAAGAAATATCCAAGTTTTAAAAAAATAAAAGGATGAAAGAGGAATACAAAACATTTAGGAGGATCATCACAAGCCTGAAAAAAAGGGCAAGAGACAAATATGCCCCTTGGCTGGACCTTTAGCTGGCTTAAAGTGATGGTTAAAAGCCTGGAAAGCATTTGGTTCTGACCTATTTTCAGAATTCTATAATGCAGTGAAGGGCATGGCTTTGGAGTGCTGGTGAGCTTGGACGGCTTTATTCCTTGGTTCTCTGAGGTGGGCTCCTACTTCAGATTTGTATCTGGTTAATTTGATCAAGGTTGGCCATGCCTTTCCCAATGTCTGGGAACCTGATCACATTCACTGGGATGCTTTTGAGGAACAATGCCTTAGGATAACAGGTGTAATGAAGACTGCCTCCACATATGAAACATGGGGTTAGCTTCCCTTTCGGGGGAGTGTAGGTTTAAGCCGTACTAAGCTTTTCATGCCAGGCTTAGGGGCACACTCTGTACTCAGTGAGGTTAACTTCTCTGGGTCCTTCTCCCTCCATGAAATCTCACTCAGGATCCTAACATATCCCACAGAGGACTTCTGCTGCTCTGAGTGAAATGGGCGTGGGAGCTGGGTATCTCCTTTCTTAGCAGCTCTGGAGGGGCTTAGGATGGGACCTGCAACTCTTCAAAACATGCTCACAAACCACCATTCTAGACCATTCTCTCTCCCAGACAACTGGTTCCTCAAACATTCCCACAAGGTTGGTTTGGGACTGACTTGATCTTGCTCCTCTAGACTTTCCTAGTTTCTTCTCTTCCAGCAGGGTACCCAGAGGCACGTGGAAGAGTGTGGAACTCTGGTCAGGCCCAGCACATGTGCCTCAGTTTTTGGTTTCTGAATGAAGCTTCCTGGACACTTTTATCAAAGGCACCAGAAAGCTTCATTCACAGTGAGGGGAAGGGATCTTGTCCATCTGAAGACCTGCAACAAGTCTTTGTCCAGAATTGTGCTTGTCATCATAGAAATCCAGAGTGATCTCCCCACTATCCATCCCCTTCGCAGGGTTTGTGACCCAGGTACATATACAGGTGGCAGTAGGAAATGCATACACTTTTTGTTCTTCACAGTGACAGCCATGACAAAGAAAGGGACTTTAGGATGTTGGTAGGAGAACTGGGGGAGAGATTCTTAAAGCACACAGGTGAATGGTAGGGACTGGATGAGACCCATGGAGAAGCAGCTTGGCTGACAGAGAATGTTGCAGCCAGCAGTTAGAGCCACACTGGGACTTCTAAAGGAGTGTGCTGGGACTTGGGGAGGACAGGAAGCAAGGCAGTCACTAGAACTGGCCTTCCCAAGAATACTGACATTCTCAACCAACAGGCAGGTTTCATACAAACACAGTCTAGTACCTACCATGAGTCAGTGTCATGAAAGCAACCCCCAGTCAGCATTGCTTTCCATGGTGGCAAAGTCTAAGAAAACCCACCTAAGAGGTCCAGAAAAATCCATCATAATGCTCCAGTTTACTGCTACAGCTGTTCAAGCATCTGGGCAAGAGTAAGAGACATCATAGGCCAGCCATGAATCCGTTAACACACTAAGTGTCTACAAACACCATAGGCTTTGTCTTCTGGTACACACACACACACACACACACACACACACACACACACACACACACGAGCGTGTGCGCATGCGCACTTGCGTGTGTATGTAAATCTACATTGTGTATGTGTGTGTGTGTGTGTGTGGTCTCCTTGGGAGAATGACAGAACAGGAACAAAGACTGAAGTCAGCATTGTGGTTGCAGCTCTCCTGTCCTCCACCTCATTACATCTAAAGACAGGATCAGAAATGTGTAAGAACGCTGGGAAGGAGTCCCAGGAGACACAGAACTGGGCGAGGGCTACGTCAAACCAGAACTCTTCTTTTTTGTGCCCAGTGCAGGGACCCCCAACCAGATGGATTAAATCAGAACCTTACGGGGGAAGCCCCAGTACTGCAGGCTTTTGCTTGTTTCCATTTTTTTTTTCTTTAAGAGAAGGTTTTACTTTGTAGTTCAGGCTGGTTGCAAACACAAGGCAATCCTGCCTCAGCTTCCCGTGTGCTGGTATTACCGTTGTGAGCAACCATGCCTAGCTACATCCGTGTTTTCTAAAGGACCTACTGGGTGGTTCTCACATGCAACCTGCTCTCCGACTACAGCGACTGGTGGGCAATCATTCCTCTCCCTAAATAAGTCAGAGCTTCTTTTAGGGAGAAGTCCTGAACCCATTTCACAGCCCAAGCTCCACTGCTCACTGTGGCAACAGTCCTTTTAGCTGCTTCATGAGGCACATGGCTTCAGAACAAGATGGCAGTGATCTCTGTGAGGGGCTTCTTCTTGGACAGGGGTCTGGCCTGAAGAGCTGGGACTCCCAAGCATTGTCCATATATCTACAGGGGTGTCCAAAATGTCCCATTGACCAGGGAAACTGAAGCAGGACAGAAGACCGGACCAGGTTTCTAAGCATCGCCTGGTCCCATCTTGTCAAAATGATTCTCCTTCTCTGGAAACCCCATCTCACATTTGCAGGAACTTCTTGAGTACAGCCTTCCCAATAGCTCATCTCTTGCTTCATTTTCCGTGTTTCTATCATCTAATAGTGGCTATATTTTTACATATACAACTACTAATATTTTCCCCTATGATATTGTAACATAAATGCAACTAAATAGTCACTAATAAGGTAACATGAGCACCACGGTTTTGCCACTAGAAATACATTTGCCTTATTGCATGTTAGGAGAAAACACTTTCTAAAAGCACCTTGAGCTCAGCTTGCAGTTGGCTATCTAGAAGAATGCACAGTTCGTCATGTGTGTGATGTGTAAAATAACGCCAAAGGGCCCCTGCACGTGTATGAAATTGCCAAGTGCCCAAGGAACGACCTGAGAAGCATTTGTGTTACCCACACGTTTAGTCTGAGCCATTTGTAAAGACGGGCGCCACTTGCCCGTCCCCAGCAAATGACAGTTCACGCGGAAAGCTGTATTTGAACTGCCTAGATCTCATTTTCCAAATGTAATTTTAAAGCTGTCCACTTAGATACCCAAAAGGACTGCTTGTTTTTCCATTTTCCTCTCCAGTAATTCTTTTAAACCCTCATCTCTGTGCTTGAAGTATAAGTAATCAGAAAACGGGGGGCTCTGCATGCTGCTTTGCAACATCCCGCTGCCCGGGCGCTCGTCTCTGAGGGAGCAGTCTGTGCCTCTGCCCTCCGTGTCCTTGCCACTGTCCTCCCGCTGCTCTTCTGGAGCATCCTGGTCCTCGTGTTCTTCCCCAGGGCCCTGCAGGGCCTGCTCCTGCTTGGTGGACAGATCCTCAGGCGCGCAGAGCGGTTGGCTCTCTGTGGCCACGCTGGGGCTGTAGGGTCCCACCCCACAGCAGTTGTCCTCACCATCCTCCTCCTCCTCTTGGTAGAGGCAGCTCTGTGTGCTGTCAACATCTGACTGGAACACTGGCCCCTTCGCGCTGCACTTTCGGGAGAGGTCAAAGGGCTCTTCCTGCTCCAGGTTCCTCAGCACACCTGTGGACTGAGCCAGGACCAGTCGTCCCCTGCCCAGACCTGCAGGACCAGAGCAGAAGTTTACATGTCTGAGAAAAGCAGTGCCTGGGACTCTCTAAGCATCCTGGTTGTCCATTTTAAAAACAGGGGGAAAATTGTTCCCACTAAGATCATGGGTGTGGGAAGCTTGCAGTCCACGCAACCCTTTAAGGCAAACTTGACAACGTTTGCCTGGAGCTAGCAATGTCTCTACGGAGAACTTTAAATATGGAAGAGTAAGGACAGGAGGCATGAGTACAGAGTACGAGTGAAAATGTTTTCATTCTAAATAAAAATAATAATAGTATCTAAATTTTGGTTAAACATATGAATGGCAGAACCACAAAATGAGCTATATGTGGGTGACATAAATACCTACATACATGACAATACATACATGTATTCTCCATATATTCTAAGTTAAAATATATAGTCCATAATATATTACTTAAAGTCTGTATTGTATGATACAGTATGGGTCCAATATACTCATAGGCTCTCTCTCTCTCTCTCTCTCTCTCTCTCGCACACCTCTTTGTGGCATTCTCTTCCCCTTTTGCCTTATCAAAAGTGCCTGGAAAGGCTATCGACTCAGTCTCAAAACTGACAAACTCTGAAGCGATTACTGCATTTTCCCTTCACTTCCCAAGTGTTTCTCATTTACTTTTCACAGAGAGCATTTACTTTGTTGCAAATAAATAAAGCAAGGGCCAAGGATAGTCCATCTTCCACAGGGCACCAAAGAAGCCATTCTAAGCCTGTGCACAGAGAGTAGAGGTCCTCTGAGGTGCTCATGAAGTCCCTGGCCATGACCTGCTGTCCATGCACTGGGCAGGGTCATCTGGGGAAGGGGGTCCTCCCTCTCACTTATAGTGTGGGTACCTAGAAGCATGGGATTAGCAATCAGCACCGCGTTCATTTCATCTTGGGTTTAAGGTCTCTGCCTGTGGTCACTAAAACCAGACCATAAGACACATCAGGGACACTGAGAGTTTGAAAAACAAGAAGGGAGGTGTCCAAGCTACAGCAGGTGGCGGGCTAGAGTGGGAGTGAAGAAAGGAAATGTAGGGTCTGTGAGCGACAATGATGCCTGCTGTTTACAGCTTTAATCTTGTCAAGTGGCAGAGGGGCTCCTCTTCGCCTTTCTACAGTTTTGTTTTGTTTTTTTGTTTTTTTTTTTTGAGCCACAACAAATTACCATTTATAGATGAAGCCACCAAAAGTGGCTAAAAATCTGATAAGTTCTCTTTTTTTTTCAAAGCAATCCTCTGGTATACAGCAATGTTCTTCCCACAAAGCGACAGAGCCACTAGGTGCTCGTTTGGATGTGAGCTTCAGTGTGGGGTAATTCCTCGTGACCACATCAGGTTTCTAATGGACCAGCTTCTACTTGCTATGGCTGTGTCCCACCCAGGTGATAAAGCAAGGTCTACTTTCAGAGACATCTGTGCCTCAATTTGGAGGTGGTGTGGCCCACCAGAGATTCAGTAAGTGATTACAGAGAAAGCCCATCGCAAGGAAAACAGAAAACAAAAGCATTCTCCTTTGAACCTGTATCCTTTAACTACCTTGAGCGTGAAGGCCTCGCTCCATCACCCCGTGCTTCACCTTCATGTGCCGGGTCAGGTTCCCCTTCAGCGTGAACTTGCTCGGGCAGTAGAGGCACTTGAAGGGCTTGCTGTCCGAGTGCAGGTGCATGTGGCCCATCAGGTTGTGCATCCTGTTGAATTCCTTCCCACACAGCTGTTGGAGACGGAAACCAGGACACAACGATCTTACCGGGAATGGGGGGACCTGAGTTCTTGTGGTGGAGGACAAAAGGGGACTTTGTCTTTGGAAGGGATGAAGGCAGGGAGGGGCCAGGTGCTGCCTGGGCTCAGAAGTGGAGCACATGGAATAGATTGTGAGACCCAGGTGTCCAGGATCCCTAAACTCAAGGCACAGATGGCAAAGCTTCTAAATTAAAACTTGTTTTGTTTTTTGTCAGGGTCTCATGTAGTCCAGACTGACCTAGAACTGACTATATAGCTAGTTAAAAGAAACAAAAATATAAGAAAGGAGCTCTTTTCTCTGGGTAGAGATCTAAAGACATAAGAATATTGTCTGAGATATATTTTTTTAAAAAAAGAGAACACTAAAAAATGTATGTGTCATCAGGTGTGATGGCACACACCTTTAGTCCCAGCACTTGGGAGGCAGAGACAGGCAGATTGCTGTGAGTTTGAGGCCAGCCTGATCTACAAAATGAGTCCAGGACAAGGCTACATAGAGAAACCCTGCCTTAAAACAACAACAACAACAACAACAACAACAACATAAATAAATAAATAAATAAATAAATAAATAAATAAATAGAGGAAAGAAAGCTGGGGGGATAGGAACTCCACAAGGAGAACAACAGAGCCAAATATACCTGGGCCCTGCAGAAACTGATACTCCAACTAAGGACCATGCATGGAGCTCATTGGCTGCTCAGTTTCCAAGTGGTTTTCCTAGTAAGGGGAACAGGGGCTGTCTATGACATGAACTCAGTAGCTGGCTCTCTGATCCCCTCCCCCTGGGCAGTGCTGCCTTGCCAGGCCACAGAGGAAGCTGATGCAGCCAGTCCTGATGAGACCTGATAGGCTAGGGTCACACAGAAGGGGAATAGTACCTCCCCTATCAGGGGACTATAGAAAGGGCATAGGGAGAGAAGAGGGAGGGTGGATGGGACTGGGAGGAGACAACAGAGGGGGCTGCATCGAGGATACAAAGTGAATAAATTGTAATAAATAAATATATAAATAAAATTAAATTTAGAAAAACTGAACATGTCTGTGTGTATGCCTGAGTCTATGTACGTGAACCCATGTGCACCTGTGTGCATGCAGGTGGCCAAGCGGTTGTGAACCTCTCATTATGGCTGTAGACGTGATAGGTCTGAAGAGTAGATCTGATAGTTCTTTACAGAGAAAAGTGCACTATGGCGACTCGGGGCACCCGGTGTCCCTATGCCTCAGGACAGCGACGTTTGAAAGCTTCAGCTCTTCCTTGGTGGTGCTATGAGTAAGACAGAGAAGGATTCTGTGTCCCCGCGTAGGCCAGTATGTTAATTAACGGCAGAGCACTCTTCTCCGTCCTCAGCCTCTGAGGAGCAGTGGAGCAGTGGCAGCAACATGCGGTGAGAGATGGCACCCCAGGTCGTGAAGGAGGCCAGGTAAGGCATCCCGAGGCTTCCCTCGGCCTCCCCTTCTCATTGAGAGAGATTGTCAGGTGAACTTCGGTTACCAAAGACACCGCCTTCTTTAGGGAAGGGCAGTGGAGCCAACCTTGGAAGAATGGGCAGAGCTGGCAATATTGACCTTGGCAGGCAAGGCAGAAGAATGCTGTGTGTGGGAGGAGCCAGCCTGGGGCTGCATGGCGGACCCAAACGAGCCACACGCACTTTGTGAGTGGTTGGCTCCGTGCTTTTGAATGATTCGTTTCTGAGGCTCTGAAGTACATCTCTCCCCTTTGATTCCTTGCCAACAAGAATGACTTTGCTATCCCAGACAGACTTCTTAGCTCAGAGTGACTGTGTACCACATACATTAGAAGCCAATGGCCCAAAGCCAGGGAACACATCCCAGAGGCACAGTGCTTGCATATTATGTGTAAGCACTGGGTTTGAACCCCGGCAAGGAGTGAGGGAGCAATGACAAAAAAAAAAAAAAAAAAAAAAAAAAAAAAAAAAAGACGCCTTAAGAGAGAAAACTGATCCAGTTCCAACTTGCACTAGTGAATCGGTATGTGGGGATGATATTTCCTTTATTCCCACCAGACAGAATTCGTGAAGATGCTAATCTGGGCTCACTTTTGCACACATCTAAAGTTTTTTTTTTTTTTTAACATTATAATAGCTAGCTTAGTTTAGCCACTTCTTTATTATGGCTAAGGAATAAAACTTCAAATCTAGAGCCCCATGCTAGGCATTTCTAGTCAAAGAGCATTTTAAGGAAAAGAAACGCACCTTTTATGTTTTGTGGGGTGATCCCTGGGTGTTTGGAGGTGTGCTGCTGTTTAATTGCTGGGACCAGGGCTTAGTTGATTCTGGAAGTATGTTCCTCACCCAGCAGACTGAGTCTGCAGAGGCTCTGCCTGCCTTTGGATGGCAAATTGCCTTGTGCATGCCTGGCACACAGCAGGTCCTCAGAAGGCCAGACACACGGCAGTACAAGAAGTTAAAGATGAAAAAGTCCCAAGTGGCAGAGCATAGAGTATGTAGGAAGAGAGAAGCCAAAGGCCGGAAGATCAATCATAAAGCAAGTCCAGACATAGAAGGGTTCATATACACCCCTTTACAGCAGACAGAGATGGGGTTCATACACTCCCCCTCTAAGCAGAGTTGGGGTTCATATGGCCTCCTCTATGGCAGACAGATATCACTGAAAGGGGAGGATTCATTGTGCCCCGGCTTCTGTGCTGGAAGACATTCCTCGTCTAGTTACTACCTCCCTGCTCAGCCATTAGACTCTGGAGTGGCCTGAAAAATGCTTTATTAGACGGATGGGTCTGGGCAACCGCTCACTTGAGAAAGTGAGTGCTGTGTGAGTGTGAGGACCCAAGGTGAACTCCCAGCACCTGGGTAAAAAGCTGAGCGTGGTGATATGTTTTTGTAGTCCTAGTGTGGAGGAGTTGGAGATGGGCTTATTAGACAGCCTAGCCTAACTGGTGATCCTTATGTGAGAAGGGGGGCGGGGCGGAGAGCACCTGATAGCTTCTAAGGAATGACTTTTGCGGTTGACCAATAGCCTTCATATGAACACTTACCAAACACACACACACACACACACACACACACACACACACACACACACACGGTGGGTAGTTTAGCCCTTTCTCAAAGGATATCTGGTGTGTCCTTTACTTTTGATTTGGCACAAGTATTAAGTATCTTCCTAAATGTTTGTAGACACTTGAGTCGGCCTCTCACCACCGGTGAGCTACTGCCTGTGGAAAGGATTACTGCTTACGGCTGTCAAACCCATCATACCTGAGATCCTGCAATTCATCTAGCCTGATGTCCCACCCATCAGCCTTCAAAGCTCCCACTTATCAGCTTCCCACACCACAAGTCTCCACTGAGATGTATGTGTTCATAACAATGGCCACCTTTGGGAGTCTTGCAGGCTATTTTTCAGCCTCAGGCAAGCATGCTGGCTAGTTTTATGTCAACTTGACAAAAAAAGGAGGGAGGGAGGGAACCTCAACTGAAAAAAGTGCCTCCATAAGAGTTAGCATTTTCTTAACTAACGATTGATGAGAAAGGGCTCAGCCATAGTGGGTGGGGCCATCCCTGGGCTGGTGGTCCTGGGTTCTACAAGAAAGCAGGCTGAGCAAGCCATGGGAAGCAAGCCAGTAAGCAGCACCCCTCCATGGACTCTGTATCAGCTCCTGCCTCCAGGCTCCTGCCCTGACTTTCCTCAATGATAAACTGTTACCAGGAAGTGTAAGCTGAAAAAGAAACCTTTTCAAATCACCTTTTTATCCTTTCTGAGAGCCCAGCAAATTCATTGCTACAGATATTCTGCCTTGATCCACTCAATATAAAACTTCTTGGGACACTTTAGTGCTATATGAGAACATTATGACTTTAAAATTATATTGCTGGACCTCTGTGAGTTCAAGGCCATCCTGCCAGGACACAGAAAGACCTTGTCTCAAAAAAAAAAAAAAAAAAAGCAATAAAAAAATTTATATTGTACTCCAAAGTAATCCCAGTGGCCTGCAGGAGAGTCCACTGTGGCCTGTGGCAGGTCAGCTCTGACTGGGAAGGAGACTAGTTTGGGGGCTGTTGGCAAGTTTAATTCTGATATAACAGAGTTGCCCTGCATGACTCATGGTGGCCTGTTGGGCGGAAGAGTGGAAAGATACCACAGAGATAAGCGGAGGCAAGTCAATTCTGATAGATGTCTGAAGTCCCAAAAGTGTCCCAGGCAGTTTTCAATGCAAGGGTCACCTCGATTTTCTTCATAACCAACCTCAGGTCCAGGGATACACAGCTAATACTCTTAATGAGTAGTTAAGCATTAGGCTGGGAATATATGTAAACGAATCAGGAAAATACCCTTTACAAAAATCTTAAAATAGAGCCATTATTGGTTCTTCTCATTTCCCCACTCGCCAGCACACACGAGTTTGTAAACTAAAACCCTCACTGGCCGAAGGATGGAGTCAGGTCATAAAGGCCATGAAGCACTGGGCCCCATTCACATGAGCAGGAGCTCCTCAGCTTCTTTCTTCACCTCTGACCTACAGAGCCCTCTGCTCCTCATTCACAACACTTGCTCCTTTATCATTCCCAGGAGAGTGTGTTCACATGACAATGCCCCAGGGCAGAGAATTCTTGTTTTGTTTTAATATATGTGAAATATAGAGCCATTACCCATCTCAGACAGTGAAGAGGGAAGAAAGAAAGAGAGAGAAAGAGAGAGAGAGAGAGGGAGGCTGGACTCTCTCTCTAACAGGTCTAAGCAGAGTCCTCGAAGCTGGAGACAGGAGGAAGTGTGCACAGGGAACAGCAAAACTCAGTCTTCTCTGGGGAAAAAAATAAATCAGTAACTGAAAGGAAGGCTTCCCTTAATCCTGAGTTGAAAATACAAATGCATTCCCAAGCAGGGACTGGATGCATGATCTTCTAACAAGGTCTGCATCAAAGTAAGAGAGACACTGGTGCAGGCAGCGGTGAGGGCTGACCACTCGGCTTCCATCTTTGCAGATGTGAG